TTTTTTTTTGTGGGGGTTTTTTTTTTTTTTTTTTTTCCTTTGGCGGTCGTTGGTTTTACAAGATTGGAACAATTTACATCACTGGATGATGTGTTCACTGCTGGATTCAAATCCAGGGCCTTTTTTTTTAAAGAAAGTAATTGTCAAAAACTTGTGTTTGTGTTTTTTGTTCAATTACATTTTTTTTTCCAAAGGTGTGGTGTGTTTATTTACTTTTGATCTAACCCTTTGGTGAATGGGTAGGGGTAACAACTACCCATTATATATAATATTTATTATATAATAAAGAACTATTCATAGTGTGTTTATCTTCATTTACTTGTGGGAATGGGTATGGAGTATTAAACCTAACCTGGCACTCTTTACCCTGGAAATGTATGGATACCTGGGGGCAAACCCTATTATTAATGGTGACTCCAGAGTGCCACCACAAACCCCCATATCCTGTAAGACCACTGGATGTTTGAAAGAGGGCCTTGTCCCACAAGATGCCTTGCAAGTGAGGAAGGAGTCTTTGCTCCCTTCCCCCCCACCTGGTGGAAGAGTTATGTTGCAGCAGAACTGTCTCAGTAAACATCTGCTACTTTCCCTTAGGCACTCCCCGATGCCTCTTACATTCCCCAAATGACTCACCTAGTCCCCTGATGCCTCCTCTGTTCCCCTCCACCACATTCTGCTGCCCAGGTGCCTATACTGTTACTATGATTCTATGCCAGAGAAGAGACCGGTGTCCTATCTTCATGCCAATCTTAACACCAGCTCTTTTAAGATGCTCTATAAAAGAAAGTGAACATGTCTTTCGAGGTCACTGATATCTTTCAATTTTAATTGAACTCAAAAGTACTCAAAGTATATCCAACTCAAAGAGGACACATCAGGTGTCACCTGTCACAATGGGTATATGTACTATCACCTCCTGGTGACAGTACTTAAATAAAAAAAATAAAAACTGTTAACACATCCCCAATACACACATCCCATACACATGTGCACTACACGTAACTCGGCCTTTGCATTCACATTAACACTTGTAGTGTTGCCTGATAGTGTGCATTGTGTTCAGGGGTGTCCCCAGGTGTAGTGTCACCCAGAACGACCGCCAAGTGCCAGCGGCCATGTTGGTGATGGAGGCCGGTAAAGAGAGGAGCGGAGATTCACCAGGCGGGATAAGGTATACCGTGGGGTCCCCTTTTCTCTTATGCAACTGTCTGGCTCTTGGTCTATGACTTTTCAGAGGGGGTGACTGTCAGTCCTTTTGGTGTCATCCCCTCTGATGGTGTCACCCGGTGCATGCCACACACCCCTTATGGATATACCATGGCTGCCACTTTGGACTCTACCTTTCCCACAGGTACCTTACAAGAGCCAGTGGACAGAGCTTGAAGGTACCACTTGGATCATTGAAATAGAGACATAATATCTTTCAATTGGTCTCGGGTATATTCAGATGTCAGGAATTGTGCCCAAGTATGGAAGAATTTACCGGTGCAATCTAAATTGTGTTTAGTATCTAATTTGTGGAGCATCATAAGTTGATGGAGGGTAGTTTTTATCTCCGTCAATGTAGGAGTTTGGGCAGAGAGCCAATGTATGAGTATATTCTTTTTGATAGCTAGAAGACAATAGTGTTCCCATTATGTCAGAGGTGCTTGGGAAGTCTGTGGTGAGGCAGATGGGGAATGGAAGAGGCATAGAGCCGGAGAGCAGTCCCTAGATGTCCCAGATAATAACGACATGTAGTGGAGTGAGAGGTGCCAGACAGTTTGAATATGTGGGCACTGCCAAAGGAGGTGTGTTAAATTAGGGTGTATGAGGTGACACTTTGGGCATTCAGTGACCCAAGTGTCCGTGATTGAGGAAGGATGGAAGTTCAAAGCATAATAGGCTCTGTGAATTATTTTGAACTGTATTTCTCACCACTACTCACTTGATATGGATGTGAGTAGATGAGTCCAGCCCTTAAGTAAGAGCTGGTGGGTATCTTCCGGTGAGAGTTGTAAAAAGGCGCCCATTTAAGAGCAAACGTAGGTATGGAGGGAGTTGAATCGCGGTATGTAGAGCTAATATGTTGATACAAGTAAGACAAATACATTTTTGTGGAAGGGGAATTGAGGAGTCGAAGATAGGGAGCTAACATGCCATCCGTTCTGGGGGTAGGGAGGGGGGGGGGGGGG